AGACTAGCTATCAGAGCAAATGGTGGTCGAGACTACGGAATGACTTACCTAAGGTAAAAGAGATGTGGTCAGACATGCCCAGAAGTTGTCCAAAAAATACCTTTTTGTCATCTACCGTGATTCCTAGTTCCTTCATTCTGAAATATTACAAAATAAAGAATAAGAGCTATGTTTATTTGCAAAGGCAATTCCAATGATAAGTTTGCCGTATGGTGCCATTACCTCTGAACAGCAAACTGTACTGAATGTTCATTATGTGACGCAACCATGACATTAGCTCGACCTCTAGCTGTCTCTTCTAGTACTGCATTCAAAGTCCTATCGAAACATTCACTAGTGGCAGAATAGCTGGGATTAATGGGATCTTTGTATCCAAGACTTGCAGCTCGTAGACGTTCCTGCTCCATGTAAGCTCCACGTACTAATTTAGCAGCAAAGCAGAAACCTTCTCGCCTTGCAAGCTCCATGTCTACTTGGGTTTGACGATGAGCGTCCTGTACATAACAACCGATACAGTATTAGACGAAGGGATATCCATACCAGTGGAAATMAAAATAATGGGATGAAACAAAGGAAAGAAGATTACAGACGCAAACACCATTTTATTTGGTCATCATTTTTTTTTTATTCATGATTTCTATTAGATTATATTTTCATTTACTGTTACTCCATTACTTCAAGCTTCCTGTTTTCCCGCCAACATTCCTGTTTTTGACTAACGTTCTTAAGCGTAAAACAACATATCATTTTTGCCTAGTTGTATATAGTAGATTTTTGTACCTTTAAGTAGCATTGATAGGTGTTGAATACAACAGGGCTTTCCATATTGCTTTCTCTTTGTAAATCTATTGTAAACCGTCGGATAGCAGGTTGAAAGTATGTTTGTTCTGCATCCACCATGAGTCGAACACCTCTTTTTTCTGCATGCTGTTGACAACATTATCAAGCATAAAACAAAAATATAGTTTTAATTGACATGTTCAGTAATGTATGTGATAAAAAACGTGTAAACCAGGAAAGACGGACTGTTGCCATTGTTATGCACAAATGATATRCCACCACTCTTATACATGAGGTATATATAATATAAAATTGAGAACCAGTTTTGTCATTATTTTTTATATCAGAGGGTGAAACATCACATGAGAATGTTACTAACATTGTATCATAATAGCAAGAACATCATGTGTTTGTCAACTTGATARATTAAAACAAGAAAACAGTGGCTAAGTTTTAAAACATATGAAGTCATCCTTTAGCAGCATGGTGTGTATATTAGGATTGTATCAAATGAAGCCTTGGCTGACGATGCTGTAGACAGAAAGCTTGGAACCCCATATAGTATAAGTAAACTTAAAAATAGCAGCCAATGCTTTTAAGCATAAAAAAAAATAATTCAAATTTGTACAATCCTAATGCAGTGGCTATATGTTTCTATTGTAGTTTAAAGAAGAGAAGTACGTTTTGATATGTTTGTTTACCTCAGCCAACTTTGATAGCCGGTCTCTCATGTTCTGAATTTGTCTCTGGTCATCTGAATTCAGAACAGGAATTATAGGTTGGCCAGTTTGTTCCTGAAGAAAGGATTATTGAATTTGTCAATGATCACTCTTCTATTAATATTGAATCAATGAATATAGCATATTTAGATTTTATGAATTTAATATATATTTAAATGATATACAGCTGTTTGGAATAATTCTGACCCCCCTACACTAATATTCATATATATCAAAGTAGCCTTAGAAATTATGGGATACCATTGCTGATATTTTTTTTAGAAAGTACTCATTCTGGGCAACTCAAAAAATATATAAATCATGATATCCCATAATATTTAAGGTCAGTTTGATATATATGAAATATGGCAGAGGGGGTCAGAATTATTGCAAACAGCTGTATATTCATATATTCACCCATATTATATATTCAATTTAAGATAAACAGCATATTACTTGGAGATTAAATTTTATCTTCTCATGCTAAAAATCGTGAGAGATCTTTTCAATACAAAAAAAAACATATCTCTGCAGGCCCCAGAAAATATCCTTTATTTATAAATATCATATAGCGACACATAAATCTTTCATTTGTTTAGTAATAGGTGTGCCTGACTTACATTTCCTTCTGGCTTTGCAGTAAAGAGATATGATAGCTGTAGTTGAGGTGTCAGGAATTCATGCCATTCAATAATATCAATAGCACTAAAAGCAATAAAAATACTTTAATAACAGGATAGTAAAATTTAACCATGGGATAAAATATTSTTCTATAACTATTATTATCAAAACACATTATCATCATCTAACCCAGACTTATCTGTATCCATTAAATCAAAGATATGATTTGCTTCATCTTCATTGATGTGGACCTGAATCAAAATATCAAATTCACGAGTGTCAGGAATGTTATGAGCTTACAAGTGCTGTGACACTTTGAAACTTACCCCCAACTTATCCAATCCTTCAAAGAACTTGTCCTTAGCAATTTCTAGACCTATCTTATTACTTATTGTAGATCCTTTTGCAAGTCGGTCAAAGAATTGCTGAGTTTGACTTATTATTTCAGAAACTTTTAGCTGCAAGAAAAAGAGAGAGAGTTCAATACACAGCTTACAATACAAGTAGTTCTGGTTAAAGGTGAGTCAGGGGGGGAGGGAGAGATGGTGGTCAAAGGTTTACCCTTTCAAAAGTGAAATTATTAGAAAATTAAAAAAACTTCGAAACTATTATATAATGGATAATAATCATTTTGGGAATGGAAAACTATGAAAACTAATAATAAATATACAGAAGACATCTCACCAATAGTGGTGGTCGACCAAGAGCAGTCACTTTAATAGCAGCAAAACCATCATCAGATGCACCACAAGCAGCATCAATGCAATGCATAAATGTCTCTAATCTTTTATCACATTCTGGCTCACCAGAATAGAAGTATGTCCTTGCACTGACCACACCCATTCTCCTGTCAGCAAACTCAACATGAGGTTTGTACTTTTGATGGTCATCTTCCTCTGAAARTAAATCAATAATAAGCAACATCTACTGGTTTAGTTATCATCATTAATATTTAATAACAATCAATATTATCATAAGATTACTTTACCTGCACTCATAGTTGATACAGAGTCTTCTAATGATTCACTGAATGAAAATATGAACATGATATTATCATAGATCAGGCAATATTATCAATTTATAATTCATTATTATTACTATATGCGCATCATTTGACTATATTCATTGACTCTTGACCATTCAAATGCATATGGAAATATATAAGAAACTTTATCTAAAGAAATTTTATCTAAAAAAATTAACTTTGAATTCAATTTGGACAATAAAATTCTTTTTAAATGCCATTATATTCCCAACTGTAACAAGGTAAATATTTTAAAACCAAAGCTATAACTAGATGTATGACAGGTCGCATTCTGCACACAGACATGGTCTTTATATCCCATCTATTGACATATGTTAGCCAGGAATATTTAATTCATCAAGAGTTTTATAATACAATACCCCATAGACTTTTCAACATCCTCTTCAGACAAATCTTCCTCCACTGAGTAGTCAAGTATGGCTCCAACACCATGCAGGTTAAGTTTTCGAATTGTTGGTTTTATTGCTTCCTGGTCCTCGCCTGCCACAAAGTGTCCATAGAACGATCCTTTCATTAACTGTTTAAACAGCCWTTTGCCACATACTCTTTGTCCTAATTTCATTAACTGAGGTGGAAAAAAGGAGCTATTTATGGAATGATTGAAAATTTTATTTCGAGCTTAAATAAAGTTTGAAAACAATCAATGTAAACATTTTACTGGAACTAATTTATTAAGGAAGCAGCGTTTTCAACAACAGAACGTAAGTGATTGCATGCAGGCCAAAGGTTGCACAACCTCTGCACAACCTGCTTATATGCTTCACTGCACAAGACAATATCGTACTCATTTTTTCCTTCTAAAATACGGAAACACTATAATCGTTGACAAATTATTTTACTTGAATTCAAATGTAAACTATAACTATTTCAATTTTTTACAATGCATGTTGTGATTAAGTCTTGAGCTTAAGTTAAGTTAGTCTCTATTCTAAATTATCGATCTTCATCTTCCCGCTCGAAAAGTATCTAAGACTTTAAGCTTGTTATAAGTTATGTTCTGAATAAGTCAAATTCAAATTGTTRCAATCTTTGGTTTGGAGAAATATGAACTCTATCTGAAGTAAGATTGTATTTATTTTAAATAAACTTTTCTACATTGTTGGTTAAGGTTTTTAATAAGCTTACATAACAGATTCAAAATGACACACATGGTCAAGTGTCGCTTCAAAGAAGACAGGATTTAAGCTTATTTGTTTTTGCAAATATAGATACCTTACCTCTTTATTTTTTTCTACTAACAAGTTCACAGAGCACAGTTTAAACACTAAAATTGCTCGGAGAAGTTCCAATGTTGTCTTCGAGCCAAACGCTTGTTTGGGATCATCAAATGTTAGCGTTTTAGTCGTCGTTGCGTCGTTTAAATCTTCCCTTTCTTGTTCACTGAAAGTTGTTGTGACATGGACCCCCGACTGGTAGCGAACTGTGGCATTTTTGAAAAAACGAAATTCAATTCTTGGGGATTTAACATACCGAAAGCTAGATAGTAGTTTCACCACCATCTTGGACCTCGCCACCAACTCGGAAACAGGTAATAATATAAAAGCCCAAACAGGTTTTGTTATGTACATCTATGGGGGGCCTTTATGAGAAGGGCGGTTTAGGAGGTGTGATCGACAAAGGAACTCCAAAAGTAGATCAGCTAATTCCAGTTCTCCGTCTTTCATCTCAGTCTTAACCACGTACACTGAAATTTCATTCATCTTTTAAAATTCTATACAGGTAAGCAAATAACCTTCCAAGTGTATATTTTGTGTTTTTTAATTTTTATTTTGTGTGTTTTTTTGTATCACACATTTAGGTTAAAAAAAWAATAATAATAATTCAGATCTTTGTTTTGCCATGATTTATTAATCCATCATGATTTTACAAATATTCATTAAAATTTCCAAGTGATATTTACAATAAAATAGTTGTCAGCCTACAGGCAGCCAAATGAACACTTTGGTTTGTAAGGCTATTTAGTACCCTAAACATTATAAACATCAATAGTCTAACACTCATACTGAACTCTAATTGGCTACTCTACTAGAAGTCTAAAACAACCCCTAAATGATCTGTAATGAGTTATTGCATGTAAATTTAATGMTGAAAGCAAATTTTGAAAGTATTCTATCATCTTTAAATATTTTTGACCCTTCAAAGATCATTGCTCATTGCAAAACTTTGGTAACCCATTCCAGGATGCGTGCTACATTTTCAGTACAAAATCCAAGGACGTTTCAAGTACTTTTAAGCACAAAAATGAAATTTTCAAGAACTATTTTTGAAGATATTTTTTGATGCTTGCAGCTCACAAGCAACATGTCACTTTCATCAGATTCAAGGAGTAATTTTCTAGGAGTTTTTGTAATTTCCCTCATATTCCATGACTTTTCAAGGATTTCAAGGAGTAGCACAAACCCTGTTGCACACTATAGTTGATATCATTAGAATATAGAACTTTTATCTAAATTGCTCTGTAGAGGTTAACTTGAATTCTGTTATCTACCATTTTTTACAATTAATCTATATATATGTACAGAATGAAATACCAATCTATGTAAAGCCATTTTGAGGTTTTGCCTTGTTAACTTTTTCTTCAAGCTGTACTTGCAAGGATTTACTAAACTCCAGGGTCTGCTGTTGTAAAGAATCAATTTCTTTTTGAAGATTTTCATTTTCCTGGATAAGTTGAGCAGTTTGCAATGTCAGTTCAAGCAAGCCTGCTTGTTTCAACGCTGAAGCAGTTTTGCAAAAGCGTTTTTGGTCACTATTCATGTGACTAATCCCACTTGATCGTTTGTGATGATGATGGTGATGATGATGATGATGAGATTGCTTATGGTAATGCTTTCCATGGTCATGGTGATTACTTTTGTGCCTTTTGATTCCAGATGATGTTGCCCCAACCTCATGACCTCGTCTAAAGCTATTAGGAAAACCATCAACGGGTATCCACTCTTGCTCTGTACGGTCATTCATATCACTTTCTTTTTCTTTCAAATGTTGTATGTGACCGTTTCTTTTACAAGTGAGAACTGGGGCCTAAATGAAAAAACAAAACTGTTTTAAATAATGATCACAGTCCTATATATAACTGAATCAATTTTCAATATATTTTGACAGTTTTATGAATCTTATTCAGTCTCACCTGGCCTACACTGAAATGAGATACAGAGATACAAAGATACAAAGTTGCAAAGATATCAGATTTCAAAGATGTCAATGTATACAAAGTTACAAAGACATCAGATGATTACAGAGCGGTTTTTGTATGAGTGGGGATTAAACTTCACTGTACTATGCCGTAGCCGTAAAGTAACCGTACCGTAAAACATTCGAAAATTCTGCAGTACCGTAACTTTGCACTAAATGTTACGGCCAGTTTCCCACTCGTACGAAAGCCGCTCTATTACAAGCAATAGCACATGGTTGCTAGGAGATATATACGGATCTAAACTTCTCAACACTCGAAGATCCGTATCTCCGTGCGCCCATGTGTCGTAAATATAAGCAAAAGTGATTAGATATTTCACATAATATCACAATGTTTCATCGCGAGTTTATTTAAGCAATAGAAGAAAGTTTATACGAGTCTGAAATAGTAGCCTGAGTATCAGGCTACTGAAATAGAGCACGCGTGATGTTCGGAGAGACACGAGAGCATTTTGAAAATCACGAGCCGGAGGCGAAGTAGATCGACACACTACATCGAGGTAGGAAAAATATGACTATGGGGGCTGGTATCTGAAGGGAAATTCGATCGATCGTTTGAGTTCCTTTGAGTATAATCATTTCCGGTACTGAATATATGGCAGAAATCAATTGTTTATTTGTGTCGACTTCGGCCCGAAATGAATCACAAACACAACTTAAATGGTCTTGAATATATAATATATATAATCTTTCTTTATTTGAGATTTGTCGAAGAATATTCGTGATTTCAACGTGAATTCAGTGGAGCAATTCGGTGTTAGCAAACCAAAACAAATAATGAATGAACGACATTGACATCTTTGTAACTTTGTATACATTGACATCTTTGAAATCTGATATCTTTGCAACTTTGTATCTTTGTATCTTTGTATCTCATTTTAGTGTAGGCCGTCTCACCTTGCCAATTCCATCATGAAATATCTCCTCTGACATTTTTAATGCTGATAATTAATAAAGTGAAAGAAAATAAACAACAGTTATATATGTACACACATCAAAGACAGAGGAAGGGTAGTAAATCAAGGGCATGCATCTTGTTTGGGTTGACCAAACCCATAAAATAAATTTGACTGCAGTACAATGATGCTTTAAGTGACAATTGCTATGTACAGTAACCCACCGTACGAGAAACTCTTGACATAATAATACACCACTGTGGAAAATATCTGTGGATAATATCTAATTTGATGAGTTCAGAGCAGAAATATGAAAGTGCAATACACTCAAGTTATAGTGATTTTTCTTTGTTCTTTATGCAATAATTATTCATGAATAAGAGAGAGTCATTTTCTTTTGGCTACTGGTTTCTCTTGATCATTATCCCTTTCTTCTCCCTTGCAAAAATCAACACGAGCTGTGAGAGTKCTAATAACATTAAGCTCACATAGTTAATTTGCAGGGAAACTGAAGGTTRGATATTGACGATTTCTGGCCCCAACTGCACAAGCGAAAATCAGACTACAAGATTATATAGTAACACTTTCTTACAAAAGTAGTTTTTGGTGTACATAGTTCAGAATCGCGCATTTTTGGGYTACATACTGTTTACTTTAAATCGGAACGACKAAAGAAACAACAAGATGCATGACTCGTGCTAAGGGAAATATGTCGACTTTATCAATCTTCCTTGAACACAAAAATTAGCCAAAATAAATGAAAAATCTTCATACCCAATTCTAGTGAGCAAACCTCAGATATAAGCATAAATTTGGGCATAAAACAACGAGAATACGAGAACTTAAACGATGCGTCTCTTCTTCAAATAATTCACCACCAACTTTAAGGCGCAGCTTGAAATAGTYGTTATTTATCAAGATGAATAGCAAAAATATCTTACAAGAACTTACCTTTGCTATACAATACTGTTTATCCCAATAGTTTGTCCTTTAAGAGATTATTCAACGTACAAAACACATTTCTTACAGCGACTATGCGATCGATTCATCAGYGTTTGGCGTGCTGCACGTGAGTGACATCTCTAACAAATATCATTGCACGTGCAGATCGCACGCAGAGGCTCTGGATCGCACGGGATGATCACTCGATTACGTAATACGGCACGTTTCAACATTTCCGCACGTGATTTGAAAGGATTTTATGWATAGACCCAGAAGATCGGCTGACAATGATTTTATTATAGCTTACTGGATCTATTTTTAAGGATTCAACGTTTCTTTTCAATAGAAGAATATCAACCTACCATGAATTTGCATGAATTCGAGAAAATAATCTATTTAACGGAAAAAAATGCAACATCGAGTTGTTTTTTGTTTTTTTCCACTATGGTTTGGTCACACCAACAATGATAAAAATGCTAAGGGTCAAAGAAAGAGAGATTAAATTGGCAAGAAATAAAATAAAAAAGAAAATTCATATCCTTGCAGTCGTTATTAGTTCCAGGCTCCCTGTCCACAGGGAGCCCGCCACTAAGAACGGCTAAGAGGAGACCAACAAATTCGATTTAATCTTGGTTTCATTTTCGTATTTATCAACTTTTTCCAAATGTCATTTAAGCGTGATAAAGGTKCAGTAGTTTATGTTAAAACACCTAATTGTAAAACCTAGAKCCGACACATTTTCCTTGACACCTAAATCATTTTTTTCTATTGTTTAATCAACACTATTTTTAGTAGTTATTGGATATTTATTTCATGGATTTAATAGTCGACTTTAGATATTTTGGTTCAGTGACCATGCACAAAAGAATTGCAGACGAGGCTCCGGGGAAATAAAAGAATAAATCAAGATTATCCATTGTTTCCCCGGAGCCTCGTGTGCGTTCTTTTGTACATAGTCATCGAACCAAAATATCTAAAGTTGACTATTGCGTCCACTTAAGAAAAAGAACACTTGTACTTTAGTAAAAAGAAAAGGGATAAAAAAAGACAAAAGAAGATCTCTCAGTCTGAAGGCTTTCTTAATATGTCTACTTTATATAATGTATTCCTTATGATGTTCATTGACGCTCTGTGAGCGCTTACACGSAACTTTGTGAATGACTATTATACATTTCTTTACTTACGTTTTTACGTTTTCTTTGTTTACTTTCATTTGTTTTTTCTCTTTTTTTCTCTGTTCCTTGTTCACTATTT